CCAAGTCTACAAAAAAATAAAAACATGAGCTGTGAGTGGTGCCTCAAGCCTGTAGTCTCAGCTTTTTGTGGGGGCTGAGGTGGGAGAATTGCTTGAGCCCAGGAGGCGGAGGTTATAGTGAGCCAAGATTGTATCAGTGTACGCCAGCATGGATGACAGAGTGAGACCCTGTGTCAGAAAATAAAATGAAATAAAAACAGACTGGGCATGGAGGCTCACACCTGTAATCCCAGCACTTGGGGAGACTGAGGTGGGCAATCTCTTGAGCTCAGGAATTAGAGACCATCCTGGGCCCCAATCTCTACAAAAAAATTCAGCAAGGCATGGTGGCATGTGCCTGTGGTCCCAGCACCTGGGGGGCTGAGGTGGGAAGATTACTTGAGCCTGGGAGGTTGTCTTCAGTGAGCTGAGATTGAGTCACTGCACTCCGCCTGGATGACAAAGTGAGACCCCGTTTCAAAAAAAAAGGTAAATACATATAAAAACAAGACATTAGAACTTCTGAGTTTGTAAAAAGAAAAATCAAATACATAATAAAAATTAGATAAAGGGTCCCACTATGCTGTGGGACACATCATAGCGTTTATGGTAAATTGAAATATTCAATTAAGCTGAAATTTAACATGACAATTACTAAGTTTTTACTTTTTAAAAGTTTTTTGAAACTGTCATAGCCAAGAAATGTTTAAAGGGACATGATGACAAAATGTAATATGGTATCCTCTATGGGATCCTAGAACAGAAAAAGGTCATTAGGGGAACTCTAAGATAATCTGAATATAGCATGGACTTTTAATTAATAATAATGTATCAGAGTTGGCCTCCCAAAGTGCTGGGATTACAGGTGTGAACCACCCACCACACCTAGTCTGCCCATGTTTTTTATAGCCAACTTTTCAGCAGCAAAAAGGTGACTCTGTTTGGTGTCATTTTAAGAAGACAGGTAGGAAAATTAGGTAGTCTGTGACTTTAAGCTTTAAAATGTTTTATGTTCTCACCAGCAATGTATGAAAGTTGCTCATCTGAAACTTTATCAGAGGAGGCTTAAGCCTGTAATCTCAGCACTTTGGGAGGATAAGATGGGCAGATCATTTGAGCCCAGGAGTTTGAGACCAGGCTGGGATGTATGGCAAAACCCCATCTCTACCAAAAATTAGCTTGATGTGGTGGTGTGCACCTCTAGTCCCAGCTACTTGGGAGCCTGAGGTAACAAGATCACATAAGCCCTGGAGGGTTAAGGCTGGAGTGAGCCATGATGGTGCCACTGCACTCCAGCCTGGGCAACTGAGGGAGAACTTGTCTCCAAACAAATAAAAAAGAAGTGGTATTAGCTTTTTTTTTTTTTTTTGAGACAGAGTCTCACTCTGTCACCCAGGCTGGAACAGTGGCTCACTGCAACCTCTACTGCCGGGTTCAAGCGATTCTCCTGCTTCAGCCTCTTGAGCAGCTGGAATTACAGGTGCCTGCCTTCACACTTGGCTAACTTTTTGTAATTTTTAGTAGAAACGTGATTTCACCATGTTGGCTAGGCTGGTCTTGAACACCTGATCTCGTGATTTACCCGCCCTGGCCTCCCAAAGTGCTGGGATTACAGATGTGAGCCACCGTGTTGGGCCACTTTTTTTTTTTTTACTGCCATTTTAATAGGCATGTGGTGGTAATACTGTGTGGTTCTAGTTTGTATTTCCCTAATGGTTAATGATCTTGAATGTGTTTTCATGTGCATACTTGCCACCTCTATATCTGATGAAGTGTCTATTTAAATCTTTTGCCCACTTTAAAAATTGGGGTTTTTCCCCCACTTCTGAATATTCCATATACTTTCTGGATACAAGTTTTTTTAATCAGGTGTGGGTTTGTTTAGCATTCATTGGTTTCTGATTTTTTTTTAAAAAAGGAATATGATTTGTAAATATTTTCTCCCAGTCCAGCTTATCAATTTCTTATTCCATATATTGATTGTGCTTTTGGGTTGTCTCTAAGAAAGTATTTGTCTAGCTTTGGGCACAAAGAGCGTCTCCTGTATTTTTTCTTCTAGAATATATCATTTTCAGCTTTATATTTACGTCTCCAGTGCATTTCGAGTCCATTTTTTATTATTCAAAGTATGGATTGAGGCTCTTTTTTTTTGTTTTGCATATGAACACCTAGTTCTAGTGCCATTTGTTGAAAACGCTATAATTTCTCTGTTGAATTGTCTATATTATTAATCCTGATTTGTATTGCATCTGACAAATCCAGAATGATTTGAAAAGTTAATTAGCTTACTGTATTTAGAAATTTGTTAAGTGTCTTATTTGGAACCTGGCATTTGCTGACAGTAGTTTGTAATCATACAGAAGGGTTCTCTAAAATAACTTGAAGCCTAAGATTAAAAAAGATTGTGCTAATGATTCATTATCTGTTTAGAAGAACTTGTATGTTTTTTCATGCATCAAGGATGAGCCAAAATGGTTTTTCCTAGAAAGTGTCCATTTTCTTTTTTGTAGAACTACTTGGTAGCTCACTAAAGGTTTAATTACTTTAAAAAAGTAATACACAATCAATGTTGTTAGAGTGACTTCTTTTTTTTTTTTTTTTTTTTTTTTTTGAGACAGACTCTTGGTTTGCTACGCAGGCCTGAATGCAGTGGCTCAGTCAGCTCACTGCAGTCTTGAACCCTTGGGCTGAAGTGATCCTCCTGCTTCAGCCTCCCAAGTAGCTAGGACTGTAGGACTAGGATGACAGGCACATGCCATCATGCCCATCTAATTTTTTATGTGTGGAGACAAGGTCTCACTATGTTGCCCAGGCTGATGTCCAACTTCCTGGCCTCTGACAGTGCTCCTACTTCAGCCTCCCAAAGTGCTGGAATTACAGGCTTGAGCCACTGTGCCTGGTCTATTTTTTTATCTTTCACTGTAGAGTGAAATAATTGCTATTTGGCTGTACATTGGTGTTCTGTAATATGATGAGATTTGAGTTGATCTTAGTATTTGGATATTTATTATTTATTAATTTAGAAGTACTTTGCAGTTAGCACCTTTAAAGTAACTTAAATTTTTAAATATTACAGTAGAAATTAAAATGCCAGGAAGCAGGTGTTTGGAGGCTAATTTAAGACAAATTTTCAGGCTGGGCCTCACGGTTTACGCCTGTAATCCCAGCACTTCGTGAGGCCAAGGCGGGTGGATCACTTAAGGTCAGGAGTTTGAGACCAGCCTGGCCAACATGGTGAGACACTGTCTCTATTAAAAATACAAAAATTAGCCAGGTGTGGTGGCATGTGCCTGTAATCCTAGCTACTCTGGAGGCTGAGGTGGGAGAATCCCTTGAATCTGGGAGGTAGAGTTTACAATGAGCCAAGATCACACCACTGCGCTCTAGCCTGAGTGGCAGACCAAGACTCCGACTCAACAAAACAAAAAAGACAGACTTTCAGGATTAATAGCTGCTTTAAAATTTTTTTTAATTTTTGTTGACTGCTTTTTCTTTATTCCTGAAATACCCACACGTAAGTCTTTTTTTTTGGAAAACTTACTCCTGTCCCTTGTTATTCCATTTTCTCCTCTCCCCGCCCCCTCCGCCTTTCTTTATTTGGGTAGACATTGCCATATAATTTTAATTTTATTATTTTTATTGTGGTAAAATACATGTAACATAAAGTTGATCACTTTAACTATTTTAAAGCATATGGTTCAAGCCAGGTGTAGTGGTGTGGCACCTGTAGTTCCAGCTGGTCAAGAGGCTGATGCTGCGCTCCTTGAGCCCAGGGCTTTGAAGGCAGCCTGGGCAACATAGCGAGACCGCCTTCTCTTAATAAAAGTGTACAGTTCAGTGGCATTAAGTACATTAACTAGACTATATGACCATCACCACCGCCATCTTGTTCTAGAACTTGTTCATTACTGCCACACCATTTTAGCACCTAATTGTTCCCTAGTGTTCAGCTGCGTATTAAATATTAGGTTTATAAGAGGTAAACAAGACTCAGTTCTTGTCCTCAAGGACTTCACAGTCTAGTGAGAGAAACCTAATATTTAGGATTACAATGTGGCAAATTACGTGTTAGAGCTCCCCATCATTTAATTTCATTTATTCGATTAGAATTTTAATTTTACCTTGAAAAAGCAAAGTAACTTTTTGTTAGGTTAACATTGAAGTTGTCATATCATTCCACACACTGAATTCATTTAGGCTAGACCAGAGTCTTCAGTCTTTTTGATTTAGGTCATTGTGACAAATCGTCATACCCTATACTATATGACAAGAAGGGAGCTAGAAAGTTGGTATTTTGATTTAAAACCAAATTATGAACTATTCCTTCCTAATGAAGCAGGGAGATCTGTGAAAACTATGATTAGAGAGAACTTAGTTGTCTTCAACTACTATTTGTTGAAACTGTTATTTTGTAGCAACAGTGTCTCACTGTATTGCCCAGGCTGGTCTTGAACTGTTGTCCTCAGGCTCCCAAAGTGCTGGGATTGAAGGTGTGAGCCACTGTGTCTGGCTCTAATACATTTTTATAATTTTTTTTCTTTCCTTTTTTTTTTGAGACAGAGTCTTGCTCCGTCACCCAGGCTGGAGTGCAGTGGCCTGATCTCGGCTCACTGCAACCTCTGCCTGCTGGGTTCAAGCGATTCTCCTGCCTCAGCCTCCCAGGTAGCTGGGACTACAGGCTCATGACACTATGCCCAGCTAATTTTTTATATTTGTAGTAGAGATAGGATTTCACTATATTGGCCAGGTTGGTCTCGACCTCCTGACCTCAGGTAATACACCTACCTTGGCCTCCCAGTGTTGGGATTACAGGTGTGAGCCACTGCACGCGGCCCATTTTTATAAATTTTTAAAAAGTTGGAATTTGTGGTGTGTTTTGATTGTCTACTGAAAAAGAATGATTGCAGTATCCTTTTAGTAAATAAATAAATAAACATTAAAAATAACGCTTAGTTTGGTTAGGCTATTAATAAATTTGACAGTTACTGCTTTTGAAAAATAACTGTAACGTCTTTTTTCAGGGCAATCACTTTGATCAATATGAGGAAGGACACTTGGAAATTGAACAAGCATCACTTGACAAGCCTATAGAATCGGTAAGATAATCAGTGCTTAATTTCGGGTCTTAGCCAGTTAGTTAGGTAGCGTTTGTGTGACACTTGATGTGAATGAAGTTAAACTTATTAATAATCAGTAGTACAGTTTAGAGTTGTTTTCTTGCATGCCAAATAGAGTTTGGGATATAATCTGATATTTAATATGTTGGGAAATCAGTCCAAAACAATCTAGAAACACATGAGAATTTTGATGGAAAAATATCTTTTTGGCCCATACTGATACTTTGTTGAAGGTAGCAAGTTAAAGTTTAGCATTTTGTGAATTGAATAAAGGAGTAAAATGTATTTTGATCCTTTTATAGCTTCACCTTTCCCAGGCAGTGTAATTATGTATGAAATGTTCCTACATAAATAGAATATGTATGGAAAAAAATTTTTTTAAGTTATATTAGAAACAGTTAAGGAATTATGCGTTTTATTTACCAGACTCTTGTGAAACGTGGCAAGTTTGGTCTCTATAGCTTAAGAAATGTCTGGTTTTTGTCAATAACTTGATTTTTTCTGTCTTTTCACACTGCTTAGTTTTGGACACTGGTGATATCAAGTAATAGAACAAGGAGATTTATTTACTGGGCTCTTAGTTTTAAAAAAACTTCTTAATTTTTGAACATTATTTTCATTTTGAGAAAGCCATTATTTTTAAATAACACAGTCCATTGTTAAAATGTCTAAACTTGTCATTGTCAGCATTTACTATTTGTGCTTAAGTGTACATATTTAATAAGGGTTTCAGTGAGTTATTGGTAAAACTTGAGTGGGGAAAAAAAAGTCAAAGAGGGAATCTTAATCTTTATAACTATCATGACAAGCCCCCCTTCTCCTTAAGAAATACTAGCTTCTTTCTCAGGAAAATAAGGCAATTTAGAGAATATAGATACTTTAACTTTAGGTTTTATTTTTAAAACTGTAATATAGTAAAGGATCAACATATATTTATGTTCCTAATTAGGTTGGTGTTGTGTGTGTTTGTATGTGTGTTTAGACGTTTACAGAAATTTACACAACTTGGGGTGTTCGACATTTTTCTTCCACAGCAGTTGGCCCATATTAGCTAAGCAGCCATGATCTGGTTTGTATTGCACGGTCTGCCTTTTTTTAATTTCTTCTCTAGGGTTTCTTTCTCCCCACCTCCCTTTCTTATTTCTGTCTTTCTGGTCCAGTGAACACTGCATATAGTACCTTCTGTCTTAATGTGCTGGCATGATGCTAGACTTAGGCATGGCAGTTATTGATGACGCATGTGATAATGCTGCAGAGGGAGAATTCTCATCTGATTTTCACTGAAAGCCTAGTCTTGTGTTTTGATATAAGGATAAAATGCTAAGCCCACTTTACTAAGTTAAAAATCAGTGGTTTGTGCCTTGTTCTGTATTATTTTGGGGATTATCACAAAAAAGGCAAAATTTTGTAATGAAATATGTAGGCTAGACAGTATCTTATATTTGAAAAATAATTTTTTCATTTTAATTTAAAAAATTGGAAGGTCACAGTTTAAGAACAGAGCTGTCAGAATCAACTCCCCATTACCATATTCTACAAAGTGCATGGTTGGTTAATATTCTTATGCAAGCTATAATTCTGTGCATACTCAATAGTAGCAGGAAATTTACTTAGATGAAATTTGCAACCTAGTATTCATTATTACTGATTTTTCAAAAATTTGTTCCTGTGGCACATGAGGCTAATGCTACTTTACCTCTCAACAATGTCCAGGACTTTTTCTAGCACATATCCTAGGGAGAACACTATCAGAGGCAGTCTAATTGAGTAATCGTTGTTGAATAATTTCCTTAAGTAGGAGTAGAATTGATATATGCCTTATTTATTAAATAGAGTTACCTTCTGCACTTAAAATAGCAAATAGTATATAGTACAGGCTGGGTATTTAAGTTTTTAAAATAAATAAATGCATGTTTAGAAATGTATATTAATCATTACACTTCTAATGAAAATTTACTTCTGAAAGATAAATATATGCATTATTTGTGATGTGGTGGTTTAGGTTGTAGGAGACAGCTTCATAGCCTACATTGTGTTAAATAGAAGTGGGACACCTGTGTCTGGGAGACATAAACAGATGTAAGAAAAAAAAAAAAAGAAGTAGGACACACAAGATAAGAGGAATCTTATTTCTGTTGCCTGATCATTTGGGAGTAACATTTTAAATGTTCTTCTCTTTCTTTAACATTTTTTTTGAACATTTTTTTGGTCACAGAAAATTTAAAAGTTTTAAGAGAAACTCCTAAGTGATTGGCATCAAAGTAGGTAGTGTTCCCTCCCGTCCACCAAGCAAAAGAAGCCCCCATCACCTAAGGAATACCCACCAAATAATAAGTGAATATTTAATTATATGGCTGGCTGGCTCTGTTAAATGGTTTTGTTTTTAGGGGGAAATGGCATTGCTTCTAACACAGAAAGAGTGCTGAATTAAAATCTTTCTCTGCAGCAATATCTATTGAGAGGTGCTGACTGTTTTGCTACAGCATGCAACTCAAAAGTGGCTGGAAATATGCAGCTTTGGGAGTCTACAGATCATTGCAGGAGCTAAAGGTCTAGTCATTTTTTTTTTTAACCAAAGGTAATCTGCAGCAGCTGGTAACCGTGGAAGTCTCTGCACAGGTTTGTGCCAAGAATATGCCTGTGTGAAGGGTTATTGTGAGTATAGGATTAAGGACTTTTTCTTTTGTAGTAGGCTAAATTTGATGCAAACCAGCAAGATGGGAAATGAGATATGAAGATGCAATAATGTGTTATGCTTTTAGTGAACTTCTGAAGCCTAGATTTGTTAGTGAGATATTGATATTTCTGGTTTTTTTTTTTCTTGTGACGGAGTTTCGCTTGTTACCCAGGCTGGAGTGCAATGGCGCGATCTCGGCTCACCGCAACCTCCGCCTCCTGGGTTCAGGCAATTCTCCTGCCTCAGCCTCCTGAGTAGCTGGGATTACAGGCACGTACCACCATGCCCAGCTAATTTTTTGTATTTTTAGTAGAGACGGGGTTTCACCATGTTGACCAGGATGGTCTCGATCTCTTGACCTCGTGATCCACCCGCCTTGGCCTCCCAAAGTGCTGGGATTACAGGCGTGAGCCACCGCGCCCGGCCTTGAGATATTGATATTTCAATTTTAATAGGTAAATGTTGAAAGTACATCAAAATCCAGCATTTGTAAAGCATTTCATCATATTTTTTGAAGTTTGTCTTCCTTTTTTTACTTCAGTCACATACCTTTCAATGAAGTTTTTCCTCACAAGAAAAATATTTTTTTAAGAAAATTATGGAAGAATTGCTAAACAACTTGATTATCTCTATTAAAAACAAGTTGGAAAGTGTTAACATTTTATTTTTATTATGAAAAATTTTTTGAATTTGAGTTTTAAAAATTGTTATTGCTTTATGAGATATTTAGGTCTCAAATATTATAACCTCCACATATTTAAAGACAAAATATTTGGAAAACAGAACTTGATCTAAAGCCATAGCTCCATCTAGGAGTCTATCACAGAAGAATTAGTTGGTGTTATTTAGGATATATGGTCCTTTATGGCCTTTATCATAGTTAGAAGCTGAGGAATCAGGCCAGGCACAGTGGCTCACACCTGTAATCCGAGCACTTTGGGAGGCCTGTGCGGGTGGATTACGAGGTCAAGAGTTCAAGACCAGCCTGACCAACATGGTAAAACCCTGTCTCTACTAAAAATACAAAAGTTAGCCCAGCATGGTAGCGTGTACCTGCAATCCCAGCTACTCAGGAGATTGAAGCAGGAGAATTTGCTTGAACTGGGGAAGCAGAGGATACAGTGAGCCAAGATTGTGCCATTGCACTTCAGCCTGGGCAACAGAGCAAGACTCTATCTCAAAAAAAAAAAAAAAAAAAGAAAAAGAAAGAAAGAAAAATATGAGGAATCAGACTGAAGAATGACCTTAAACTATATAGAAGGCAAAGTGCCTGCATCATAGACTTAAAACATGTTGTTACTGTTGTGATTGGAAGTGCAACTACCCATCAGCCATTAGTCGGTCCTTGCTCTACCTGACTGATTAAAATTCTTTCTTTATGGTTGTCAGAATGACCTAACAGGTTTAAAAATTAGTGTAAGCTTCAAGCTCCAGTTGCTGATGTTTCATATGTACATCTTAAGGATTTGGAAGTATATATATAATTGGGTTTTGTCATGTTGCATATCTGTCTAGATCTGTGGACTCCACTAGTTCCAAACTGTAAGTCTATAAGACTGCTGATTTGACATTTAGCAGTGACCATATGTGGACTGCCCTATAAATAATGTGCTTCTTGGAGCTGAATGGTGTAGCATTACTATATAGCTTTTCTCTCTAGTCTTCATTGTGTCATCTGTAGTGAGCTATAGATTTTTTTGTTTTGGGAATTTTTACAACTTGTTTGCATGGGTTCACCTAGTAGCATTGGTTCTTGCTTATAGTCTTTAATACACAATCAGCAAAGCTTACAATCCACTCAAGAGACTTACTATTTTGTCACTGTTGAAATTGGGCTAAATGATGTAAATTAAATGTGGCTGTCAACTAAAACAAAATTGAGTATAGAATTAATATTCATCCAGTCATGGACATACCTGTAGCATGGTTTTCTCTCGAGACATAATAGGCTGTTTCCTACCCTAAAAGTTGCAGCCAGCTTTATACAATAAAGTGAATTTTTTGTTGTATTTTGGCAGCCTGCCATCATGTACATTGGTGGTGCTGTTGCCAAAATGGTCGTTGTTAACCATGGTGGCATACAGCTTCATGGAGCAGAAAGTTTCTCCTTGGTATTTAATTAACAAATAAAAATGTTGAGGAATGTCTAAAACAGTTAATAGTGAAGTAATTTTAAATTGCTGGTATTGTGTTTTTAGCATATTGGTAGTTGTTTATAATACAGATTTCTCGTTTTCAAAGATCTTCCCGTTTAAAAATTATATCCCTTTTCTCACATGTTTATTAGAGAAGAACAAATGATAAAAATGCAGCATTTTAATGATATATTTATGTGTAGAAATAGGGGGAGAAAAGATGATAAAGTTTGAGTTTTTAGCTTAGCTTCATGTTTTAATCAGAATTAGAAGAACTTCATTTCCAACCAAAGAACAAGCCACACAACCATCGTTTTGGGGTCTTGAGCAGAGAAAGAAAACAAATAGGTGGTTTGTGAGAATGCATAATTATGTAGAAAACCAGCTTTTTAAAATTACATCAAGTTGACTTGAGAAGAAGAAAAAAATATAAGCAGCCTACGTCTATCATGCAACTTTGTTAGTTGTTAACCAGAGTTTTTACAAAGAAAAAAATTTCTGTAATTTATTTTTGGTTCTATGAGATTATAATTAAATCCCAAATTATATATTTTATTTAAAAAACAAAAGTCAAAAGATTTTTAGTCGTTATTATAATAATTAAAGGTTACTTTTTTAAAAATAATTACTTTGGAAATAAATTGAATGGGCATGGTGGCTCACACCTGTAATCCCAGCACCTTGGGAAGCTGAGGTGGGACTATCACTTAAGCCTGCAGGTCAAGGATCCAGTGAGCTCTGACTGTGCCACTGCACCCCAGCCTGGGTGACAGAGTGAGACCCTGTCTGAAAAGAAAAAGAAAAGGAACAAAAAAATTTAGTGTTCATTTCCCTTGTTCTGTCTAGATTACCTGTTTCAGCCATAAGCTACTCGTGCCAACTTAATGTTATAAATAGCATTCATGGGCCAGGCATCGTGGTTTATGCCTGTAATCCCAACACTTTGGGAGGCCAAGGCAGGCAGATCACTTGAGGTCAGGAGTTTGAGACCAGCCTGGCCAACATGGTGAAACCCTGTCTGTACGAACAATACAAAAAAAAAAATTGGCTTGGTGTGGTGGTGCACACCTATAGTCCCAGCTATTCAGGAGGTAGAAGTTACAGTGAGCTGAGATTGCATCGCTGCATTCCAGCCTGAGCTACAGAGTGAGACTCCATCTCAAAAAAAAAAGAAGAAGAAAAAAAAAAGCATTCATGGAAATAATTGGCAAAAATCACAGTCCTAAACAGAGAGAATAGATTGCTTGTTTCCCACTGACTGGTTATTGGATTTCTTGTTCTTTTCACAGAGAAAGTGTTGATCATTTCAAAGGCAGAGAAGTCTGGTTTGTTTTACTTTGTTACAATTATTTTGTTGTGCCTCCTTGTGTTACCCATCATCCTTAAGCCTGTTAGATTTTTGATGAGTGTTTATAAAACCTTTTTTCTTAGGAAGAGGGACCATACTGAATGTTAGCGCCTTCTGCAGAGTCACAGAGCTACCTTTTTTCCTCCAAAAACAGGTAGCTTGAAATGATAGGAAGGGTCCAGATTTTCTGTGTTGGTCATTTATTTACCCCAGGAGGCTGGTGAGGGAAGGAGAGTCTGGGAGTTGTGTCTATTGTTTCTGTTGCCTTTATTGTGATTGGAAGGATTTACAGTGGTGTGTTAAATATTTTATTATAGTCCCTGAGAAAGTGGATTTAATTAAAGAACAGTTTTAACCTAAATAGAAGAGAAATGCCACTACCATATTCTGTCAATAATTTTTTTCTGAGAAGGTGACAGCCATCCTCTTGAGTGGTTTTGTAAAAGTGGTGCTAATGTGTATAACTTTAATTTTTTCCTTTTTTTCTCCCTCTCCCTTTAACATTTGCTTTTCCTTTCACTGTTGTCAGTCACAACACGCTGCTCTTGAATCTCTCAGCTGGTCTTGACTCGTGAATTTACTTATGCTTTCACTCTTTAATAAATACATTACTTGCAAGCAGTGAATTGAAAACGACAAAAAAAAAAAAAAACGACCATTAGTGATTGGACAGTTTCTTACTTTGTGTTACATTTAACTGTTCTTTTGACAGCCCAGTTTTTAAAGCCAGGTTCGTATGGAAATGCTTTCACTCCACTTGCACTGCTTTTGGAAATAGCATACTGCTTCATCTGTCTGTTTATTTTAGTGCATTCATAATATAACACAGTCAGCATAATGTCTCATCTCCACTTAGCCAAAGATTGAGTTTTCTTTAAAAAAAAAAAAAAAAAAAAAGAAAACAAAGTGGGGGGGAAGCAACAATTTTTGTCAGCATTGTTTAATACCTAAATCTTGGTGCCAAATATAGTTACAACATGCATCTATTAAGAGATTAAACAATTACTTAATAAACCGTATACTCTCAGTCATTCTGCCATTGTTGTCCTTTCTAGAATTATTCAGTTGTAGGAATTATGATGTGAAATAAGGATTTTCTGCACAGGTAAGTTTGTTTTTATAGTAGCAATATAAGGGCCTGTTTACCTTTGTTTTCTGCTAACATTACTTATATTGAGACTTTTAATCTTTTCTTTTTTAGGGGGTAATAAAGTTATAAATAGACACTGAGCACTGGGTAAGGAAATGCTTTTCCTGGCAGTTCAGTTAGTCGGGGAGAAGGGAGGAAGCCTTAGCAGCAGTAGTGTTGTATTAAGCTTTTGTGATGTGTAGTAATGTGGAAGTCATCCCTTGGAATCAGTAGTGTTTCTAATTCTTTCAGATCATATGACACAAAAATAACTTGCAGCAAACTTTGTGCACCATAATGATTTATATGTATATTTAAAACAATATATGTTTTGTTTTACAAACAAATTTTTCATTATAATTTGCCTCCAGTTTTTGTTTTTAAAAAAGTATCCTGGGTTGATGCCTGTAATCCCAGGACTTTGGAATTCTGAGGAGGGAGGATTGCTTGAGCCCAGGAGTTCTGGATCATCCTGGGCAACATAGTGAAACCTTGTCTCTACAAAAAATAAAAAAATTATCCAGGCACAGTAGTGTGTGCCCATAGTCCCAGCTACTTGTGAAGCTGAGGTGGGAGGATTGCCTGAGCCCAGGAGAATTTTACCACTGTACACCAGCCTGGGCAACAGAGCATGACCCTGTATCCAAAAAAAAAGGTCCTGGTTTTGCCCCATCAGTGAAATAATCAGCTTTTTAACCCAGTTTTCCAGGTTGCATGCTGTCATAAACTTGTAGAAGAAAATTGTCCTTAAAAAAACAAACAAACCCCCAGAGCATTTGGGAGCTTTAATCTTCTTCTAACTTCTAGTTAGAGAAGATAACAGTTAAAAAAATATGTTTTTCTTTCCTCTATGAGTCCACAGAGCATTTTATCATTGAATGTGGAGATACAAGACAGTTTAATGTGCAATATTTGGTTTTAATGCAGAAATTTGTGGTTTGGTCAGCTTTATAAATTGATTTCAAGAAATATAAGATATTCAAATGGTTTACCTTCGTTTTCTGCTAACATTACTTATATTGCAACTTTTAATCTTTTCTAGATTAATACTATAAATTACATTTTAATACATATAGAATACTTTGTGTTTAGAATTTTTCAGTGTTGTCCTTTGGATGAATAGCATCATTTTTTCAGGTACAGTTAGTGTTTATTTTAGCCTTGTCTTAGTACTTCACAGTAACTGTAAAAAGTAAAGAACTGGACAAAGCTGCAGATGTTTCCAATAACTTGACCCCTTAAACAAAAGCTGACATTTAATTGTTGTTTCTAGCATTTTTTTCATGCAGTTTACATTGAAATACCTTTTCCAGTGCGCTCCTGAGAAGATGAGACATTATGTATGTTGGTTTCTCCCCCTACCTGCACTAATGGTTCTTTACTGTTAACTTATTGCTAGGCCTGTTTCATTCTAACATCTTAGCATTTTTGTTAGACTACGTGTTGAAATGCATCACTCAGTCTGTGCTTGAGCTCATTTTATTTTTCTATTTAATCAACTTAATTTCTTGTTTTACTAACCTCACTGTTTTTTCAGTTTAATATTGGCTGCATGCTAGTTAAATATTTATATTATATATATATTATTATTTTTTAAACCAATCAAGTCTAGCCTGGATTTTGCTCTGATTGTTTTTTCATTTCTAGTGGTGGGGCAGTCTTACACTTACAACTTACTTTGTATCATGAAAGCCTGACACATAAACAAAACAACTAAACACAATGTAGATTTTCTTAAAAAAAAAAAAAAAATCTTAAAGTGGTGCTGTTTAGGTGGTGGATATGACTGTATAAGTACCTTGATTTTATGCTTTTTAATGTTATTTTAAAACTTCATAAATGTATTCTTCCCCTTTTCCCTTTCCCCTTTTTCTCCATTTTAAAATGTTATGTGCAAAAGTTGCCCAGCACACCATCAGAAAGGACCCGTACCCCATATGTTCTTCCCATATAAAATACTAGCCAGCTTTTCTTTTTACATTAATGCCCCTCTTATTGGGCACATTTACCCTATTAGCACCTTTTTGCATGCATATATGTAGAATTATCTCTTGCTCATCATCTGTTTTAATGTCTCTAGGAAGGGAAGAATATATTATTGGAATATTTTTGGTTTGTCTCTCTGTTCTGTCTGTCAGGATAATATTGGACACCGCTTACTCCAGAAACATGGGTGGAAGCTGGGCCAGGGATTGGGAAAATCTCTTCAGGGTAAGTGTTTACATTTACCAAAGAAAAAGAAAGAAAACCGTTTCTGATGCGGGTCTTGTACCTGAATATATTTGTTACATTTTTTTTAATAGTGCTTGGGTTCCCCCCTGGCTTTTCCCCTTAGAATAGTCTATTTTTCCTATAACTATATTTTAAGTCACTGTTAAGCCTCTATATATGCCAATAATTTGCAAGAGTAAGCTCCTATGTTGTTGAAACTTTCAAGTCAAACATACTGTGCGTGGCTCAGACTGTTTTAAAAAATTTTTTTTTTTTGGGTGGAGGTGATGGGTGGGTGGAGTAAAAGGAATGCAAAATATCAGAGTGTGCTTTCTTTGTGCTATTTAGTAATGTTGTATTGTGGCTTCAGTATTATAAAGAGAATCATTCAGTAGAAGAATTTAATTTTTGTCCTTTTAAATTCTCCCTGAAGCTGATGATTGCCCTGGCTCTTGCTGTGTGATAAGAAATCTATGTAGTGGTTGAAAGAAAAATTAACCCCCATGAAACGTAAAATGAAAGCGGAGGTTTCTGAGGGCTCTGTGAGCAGAACGGTTATTTCTCAGTTCCTATAAAGGTATAGAAAATGTGTGGCTTAAAATTTCCATTGCATTTGTTACTCTATTTATTCCAGTCATTTGGATTTAAAAAAAAAATACTAATATTTTGTATTCTGAGTTCTTGCTAGTTTTAAACCAACCAACTGCGTTCATTTTTTAGCTCTTTTAGATTCAAGAGCTACTGTTTGTTCTTTGCAGATGTGATGTGAATGCTACCTCAGAAATTGGGGAAATCGGCCAGGCACTGTGGCTCATGCCTGTAATCCCAGCACTTTTGGGAGGCCGAGGCAGGTGGATCATGAGGTCAGGAGTTCAAGACCAGCCTGGCCAACATGGTGAAACCCTGTCAGAACTAAAAATATAAAAATTAGCTGGATGTGGTGACGCATGCTTGTAGTCCCAGCTTGGGGCTGAGGGAGAGAATTGCTTGAACCCAGGAGGCAGAGGTTGCAATGAACTGAGATCACACCACTGCACTGCAGCCTGGGTGACAGAGTGAGACTGTCTTAAAAAAAAAAAGAGAAGAAATAGGAATCATTGTGCCTCTACATCTGATCATGCAGGAGCTTATTGTATAAGGGCATCTTTGGGGAGATGTGTGCTACTGTTAACTAATTCTTTGAATTTTGGAAATGGATTTTCATAGTTTGAATGCCAAAGTCTGATCAGTTCGAGTGTGTTGAGAGGAACACAATGACAGGTGTAATGGCTCATTCCTGTAATCCCAGCAGTTTGAGAGGTTGAGGCTGTAGGATTGTTTGAGGCCAGTTGTTCAAGATTAGCCTGGGCTAATAGAGACCCCACCTCGGTTTTTTAAAAAAAAAAGAATAAATTAATTAATTAAAAGAGAGCGAAACCAAGAGGACAGGACTTGAAATAGGATGATTCCATTATTAAAACCTTTACTTTTAAAATTCTACTTCTACAAATCTGTTCATTGGTGACACATCGAAAATGCTCAATAAATATATTTTAATGAAATATATTTCATTCAGTAGCAGAATTACTAAGCATTAACCTGTTCTTTTGGGCAAATAGGAAGATTTGATTATTTTTAAACTTTTTTTCCAGTAACACAAGAAAGAACTCTTTGCAAACAATACAAAGAATACTCTGATTAAGAGTAATTCATAGGGCATAGACCACAGGTTTTATAAGAGCCCAGAAAAGAGGAGATAATCAGGACTAAAATTGAGATGGCTTTTTGACAGAATTTGTCCCAGTGGTTTGTATAGTTTTAAGTGTTGGGTTGAATTGAATGGAGGTGATTGCTTTAGGAGAAGGCTAGAAGACTAGATTTGCTTTTCCCTCCAATTTGAAATACCTCTTCTGTTCAAGGAGCAATTGTTCAGGCACACAAGGTGCCACCATTTCATAGTGGCTAACAAATCTGTTTGAATCCCAGAACAAGTTAAGCATCAGAGACTTTAAAGTACAGCTAGAGACCGGGCATAGCGGCTGATGCCTGTAATCCCAGCACTTTGGGAGGCTGAGGAGGACGGATCACAAGGTCAGGAGTTTGAGGCCAACCTGGCCTACATGGTGAACCGCCTTCCTGCCGTACCCGCCCCCCCCAACAACTGCCATCTCTACCATAAATACAAAAATTATGGGTAATTAAGCATCTGTAATCCCAGCTACTCAGGAGGCTGAGGCAGGAGAATCACTTGAATCCAGGAGGTGGAGTTTGCAGTGAGCTGAGATCACAGCACTGCACTCCAGCCTGGGTGACAGAGCAAGACTCCAAAAAAAAAAAGAAGAGAAGAAAAAATAAAGTAAAATTCAACTAGAACCTGCAGAGAGAAAGGAGGGGGAAGAGATAGTTAATGAGTTTAAGAAAGGATAGGTAAATGGCTGCTTACCCACCTACTTTGGGTGATCCAAATTATTATCAATTTTTGTTTTTAAGGAGATTTTAGGTAGAGTGCTGTGACTCATGCCTGTAATCTTAGCAGTTTGGGAGGTTGAGGCAGAACTTTAATCCAGGAGTTTGAGACCAGCCTAGGCAACATAGACATGATCTCTATCTTTCCCTGCACTCCCTGCCAAAAAAAAAAGAAAAAATAGGTGTGGTGGTCCATGCCTGTGGTCCCAGTTACTCAAGAGGTTTGAGGTAGGAGGATTGCTTGAGCCCAGAAGGTCGAGGCTGCAGTCAGCTGTGATCGCACCCTGCACTCCAGCCTGGGTGACAGAGGCCCTGTCTCAAAACAAAACAAAACAAAAAAACAGTTTAGGGTTCTCTTTAAACTTTGAGCTTCTTGAAGAGAGGAATTAGGTCTTATCTATATTTTATCTCCATCTCCATGGTAACAGGTATATATAGTAAGTAGTCAGTAACTCATATCTGTTCATTTAAAAATTCAAGGGAAGTTTAAAACTAATTTAAAGGGTTTCTTTTTTTTCTTTTCTTTTCTTTTTTTTTTGAGACGGAGTTTTGCTCTTTTTACCCAGGCTGGAGTGCAATGGCACAATCTTGGTTCATGCTACCTCCGCCTCCTGGGTTCAGGCAATTCTCCTGCCTCAGCCTCCCAAGTAGCTGGGATTACAGGCAAGCGCCACCATGCCCAGCTAATTTTTTTGTATTTTTAGTAGAGACAGGGTTTCACCATGTTGACCAGGATGGTCTCGATCTCTTGACCTCGTGATCCACCCGCCTCGGCCTCCCAAAGTGCTAGGATTACAGGCTTGAGCCACTGCGCCTGGCCTTTTTTTTCTTTTTAATTGTTAAAAAACAGGTAACAAAGCCAGGTGCAGCGGCTTGCACCTGTAATCACAGCATTTTGGGAAGCTGAGGCAGAAGGATTACCTGAGGCCAGGAGTTGAGACCAGCCTGGGAAATATAGCAAGACCCCATCTCTACCAAATTTTTTTTTTTTTAATTTTCTGGGCTTGGTGGCACACACCTGTGTAGTCTCAGCTACTAGGAAGGCTGAGGTGAGAGGATCACTTGAGCCCAGGAGTTGAAGGATGCAGCGAGCTATGATTGGGCCATTGCACTCCAGCCTAGGTGACACTGTCTCTGTTTAAAAACAAAAAACCCAACAATTCATCCTTTCCAAAACATATAACATAAAATTTAGCATCTTAACCATTTTTAAATATACAGTTCTATAAAACATATTCACATTGTTGGTGCAAAGTCCATCTGTTTTAAATGATTAGTATCTTTATTCTCCAAAAAGAATGCAGCCTTGTTCTGTTTCCAGCATTTAGAATTGAGTTTGTTTCATAACTGGCTGTTTATTTCCTACTGTCAGATGCGACAATGTGCAGGCATTGTGCTGGTTTCTCTCACATGTCTTTCTGTAGTACCCACATAATTTAACCTAGAATATATCCACATTTATTGCATATTGAGGCAATTTATGACAGACTTCTTTAACTGTACTAAACCTTTGGTATATATAACCACTCAAGAAAGCCATGTCACTCTGGTGTAAACAGTATTGCCTCCTTGGTATTTTATATACTAGGCATTGCATGTAATTTCTGGGCTTATGCTTTTGTAAGTTCTTTGCATTGACTAGTTTACTGCCAACTTTCCTTTTTATTTGAGTTTAGGGCTAAACATATCTAACATGCAACCACCCACTAAAATTTTAAGCTTGGTCCTTTTGGGCTTTTTTTTTTTTTTTTTAATCAAAGGTTGAAAAATTATTTTGACCCATGCAAGGCTTTTGCCAACAAAAGTTGCAGTCCTTGGGGCTCCAATGCTAATGTCTTGTCACTGAATAGATTGGATAATAGGGCATGCAGACTCTGGAATGAAGTTGTCTGTGGCAGGATATAAAATTGTACTTTGTAAACTGAGTTTATTTTTGTACTCTCTTATTCATGTTTTGTTCTCCCTTAGTGTTATATGTGGCAGATAAGTGATTATTAGTATTAAAATATAAAAGACCTCAAAGTCAAGAGTGATACTAAAAAAATAAAAATAAAAGACCTTAAGAAAAGTTAATGCTGACAAGATAGCTAAAGTAAACAACACACAAAAAAAACACTACCAATGAGAAATGTTGTGAACAGTTATTTATTATAGAAGCAGAGGATATGTTCAATTCAGAATAAAGCAAGAGTAAATGGTAGTTATATTTTGTAGCATTTGGATTGGATTCATTTCTGGAAATTGTTTCATAACCTTTTGGCAGCTTTGTAATAGAATGTAGTTAAAAATTTTTATTTTTCTGTGAAATATGTTTAGTCATAGGTGTAGCCCAGAAGTGGTGTCTGAGCTTTCTTGGTTACGTTGTTTAAGAGCTATTTGATGATTTGGCTGATTATTTGGTCACAGACAAAAGTTTAGCTCATGGGGAAAATGAATGGGATCTAATATTATTTCCTATCTAGAAGGTTCGATCAGTACATTTAGTCAACCAACAAATATTTACTGACCGAACATTACCTTCTAGTTATACCAGCTGTAAATACCATAAGACATGA